CAGCATCCCAGTTTTACTTGTAATCCAAATAAGACTAAATTTTGGGATGCAAAAAAGCTCTGCAAAATAGAATTACCTTTTGCTGTCCAGCTCTAGAGCTACTACAGACAACAGAGTCGGGGTGAAAAAGCAGACGTTTTGCACTAATACAAATACTCATTTGCATTTTTCCATGAGGCCAAATATTAAACATCTCATTTTACTTTTAACTTCCAATTTGTTTTTTCTCAGAAAAAAACCAACATGATATTTGACAGATTTTTAGATTTAGGCCTTGGAATATCAACCCAGACAAAACAAAGCAGGGGGCAGCACGTTTTTTCTTTCTATCTTCCCAAAGCTCACTGACTTCTGGAAAGATCCCAAACTGTCTTCAGTTTAATATGTACTTGTTGAAGGGTTTGGCTCACACATCAAAATAAGTGAAAGAGATATTATGAATAAGATGGAAACTGGTAAGAATGCACATGTCAAGAACAAATATAAATTACACTTACAGCTTTCCAGTTCTAAAGAACAGTTCTGAGTGTCCAGAGGAAACCTACTGAAATCCATGAAACACATGGCAGAAACTGTTATTCTGCAGAAAGGAACAGAAAAAAAACAGAAATAAAATGAAAAATTTCACACCTCCTTAGAGCTGTGCACACACCTTAGTGAGATCCCCAATGAATCTGCTGTTTAGAATCCTAATGATTGAGTTTTTCTGCTCTTTTAGATGCTTCTAAAATTGCTTCATGATTGTGACATGTAACTAAATCAGTGAGATCATATTTTTTTAAACTTAAATAGTCTTCCATATTAAGTACATTACTTTTGACTTTTAAACCCTTCACTAGTCTGATCTTTCATTAGCTTCCAAGGGTTACACTTATGAAGATTAACAAAGGGAGTTCACATTACTTGACTTGATTTCTCATAGATTGAAGTAGATAATATTACGGATTAGAGCAGATATTATTCCAAGAGCTATTTTCTCAGCTAGAACGGTTATAATATTTAATTGCATAAAAAGATAAGCTGCAATCTCTGGAATTCTACTCTCCTCTTTAACACCATGGAAATGAAGTGCTTTATAATCTAATAAGCTTAAGGAAATCTAGGTAAAGGCTATTTTGCATTCCACGTGCTTTTTCACAGATGTTTAGACAATAAATGTCCCTTGGCATTTTAACAAATAAACACAGAGACCCCAAACCTGCTAGAGGCAAATATTGCCAAATTTCCCTTTCTTGTCACACTTCCTGGTTTAGCTAGATTTTTCAGTTTTCCCCAAACTGAATCCTATAGGAATTTAAGTAAGGTTTACACTGGTTATATAGGTGATCTTTGAAAACTTAAGATCAGTGATCACACTGTACCCAAATTTTTTACAAGTGTAAGATGTTACTGGCTCGAAATGAGATTGTGAGAATGCTACATGCATAAGACTTCCAACTATGCATGCTGTTTTTGTCTTTTAGTTATTGACTAAAGGATCAGGGAAACAAGAAAAGAAATACTATTTTAGTAACAAATCTGGATTTTTGTTTCACTTTGCTTCACTAAAACCCTGCATGCTAGGCACTGAAAAAAAACTGTGGAACATGCAGATTTCTTGCATGTAAGTATCTGGAATATAATCTACTCACTGCATGTAAAATTGGCAATACAAATGGTGTTTTATTGAACATCTGATTCATTAGGAACATACACATTAACACCACTGAGGCTAGAAACACAATCTTTCACCCTCATCATTTTGAAACCTTGGTCCACCTACCAGCCTTTACGTCACCCCTTTTCCTGCTTCTTAGTTTGATGAGCAATGATAGAGAAGGAAAGGAAGAGGACAGGACACCTGTCCTTCATGCTTATGTCCAGGAAGAAATCCACAGGTTTAACAGGAACATTGGGGCTTTGCTATTCACTGGCACAGGAGCGTGAGGCTGGCTGCAAACTCACCTACCAGGGCAAGGAGTCACCCACATTATCTGGTACTGCAGGGTTAGGGAAGGTAACTCTGGGAGCAGAGAGGATGAGGACAAGGAAGAAAAGTAGAGCACCAGCTTGCAAATGTGATGCAGGACCCAGGGCAATGGCCTCCATCAAAGAGAGGATTCCAAGCAATGAACAAATTTAACATTGATTGACACTGTGCCTGTTCATCAGCTCTACTTCCTTCTCTTCCTTCCCTTCCTTCCCTACAATCTCACTTTTTCCTTTCTCTCAATTTCTGTCCTTCCCATCACATCTTCCCTTTGGTTTGTAACCAGTTGTGCACAATTTCTTGCTGTTAATCTTGATGACACTTTCCCCTTCCAGCAAGCTGCCAGAATGTGTTTGCCCATCTTATGTCTCCTTGCCACTGTTTCTTCCCCCATCTACATGTAATGTCATACCCCTCACATGCAGAATCACTGATGTAAACCTTAGTGCAGTAGTGCAGTTCCTCTGATCCCTCCCTCTCTCTCAAGAATCATGGAAATTAATACAGCAATAAAATGCATACTTCACCTCATTGTTTCCTAATGGTCTGTGTGATTCTTGAACATACACTACTTTAAAGCGGTGTACAGCTGTTGTTCTGAGGGTTTCTGCATGTCCTCATGAGTGAGGAGATAAATGTATTAATTGTTGGAAAAATTATTACACAGCCAAAGTCTCGAGTGCCTCCATAAATCTTCAAACTATCCAGATAAGATGAAATATCACCTCTGTGCACAGGACTAATTAGTAACTAACTGGAGAACTGTGATTTCTGCAATGCACAGGCCTCATAGTCCCTACCCTAGGGGGAAAATTCATCCATTAAAACTATTCCTGCCACATCATCCAAATCTACTTCATAAAGAAAAGCAATAATATGCAGATGGAAGGGGGAGACATTTAATGACCTTGCTATTCCAGTCCTGGAATTGCTGTTTCACTTTTCAGTTCCTTGTTAGTCACACAACATGACTGTCTAACACTGCTAGCATCAACACTAATAATCTGCTCACTGTGCCTATCTAGAGCCCTGATTAATACCCATGGCATGTTAACAGGTATCCCAGGGTGAAAATAGCTGAGATAGTTTGAAAAGACTCGGGAGGGAAAAAAAAAAAAAACTACTTTTTTTTCTTTGCTAGAAAAATTTGTTATCAAATCTTATTTTCCCACTGGAACACTGGTCACCAGTTTCCCAGTATCTGCTGCCAGAGGATTAATGCCAGTCCAGTATGAGAATCTTAACTTCAAGTATTTCTAGTAATTTCTCACTGCACAGACTATTGGGCCACAGTTGCAGCAATTTTTGTTCTTAAAAAAGGATTTTGTCCTTACCTCAGACTGAAGAGTACATTGCCATCAGGGTATACTCGGAGCATGATGTTTTCCACAGTTGTGTCATGGATGAAAGATCTTTTGGAGTGTACAAAAAATACATCAGGTACCCAGATCTTTTTTATCAGCCGTCCATCAAAAGTCATACTTTTGTTTTTGTTGCTACGAAATGAAAGTCTCTCATCCTTCCAGTAATGTCTGAGATATAAAGTCATTGTGAAGTCCTTTGTTTCATTAAAAATAAAAGAAAACAATGATTGTTTAATTCACATACAATAGAAAACAGTACAAACTAATCAGCTCATGCAAAGGATCAAGTTTTTCTCTGGACATTAGCTGAAGGATCCTCAATGAAAGGAATCACACACCATTCAATGAGTTTAAATACAGGCTGGAACTATCTCTGAGATACTGATTGTTTGCCTTGTCACTGGTGGCTGAGTCTAAGGTTCATCCTTCATTTATACTTAGATGAAACTTCTACACATTTCAGTGATCTTCTGGATTGGACCAGCAAGGAAGTGATAAAGAAACTTTAAAACCAAAGACAAATGGAGAAAGGTTTCCCCTGGAAAACTTCACAACCTGTTCTGAGAATGGACTGTGGTTTCTTTATTGAGTTCTTTAGTTTCAATTCAAATTAACTCCTTTGAGGTTTTCATGAGCATTAGGTCAATTTTTAAAATCCATAAATTTGTACATTTTGTACAAATATCATACATTGCAGATTAGTACATTTATGAATTCAATACATCATAAATAAACAATATGATGAATTTCATAAGAGTAAGCAAATAGGTTTCACTGCAATTACAATATTTTTTTATATAAAAGATTGTTAAATGTTTTATCACCCTATTTAGAGAAATGCCACAACTGCAAATATACATGTGGAAAGAAATGGAGAGGATGCTGTAAACCCAGTCTGAGCTTCCACACAGCTTGACTTCTCTGTGTTTACTTGTATAACTTTTGCTTTATCAGGCAGGCAGACATCATTTATCTCAGCAGAATGAATGCTTCTGACAAGAATATTGGGAAGATACTTGGGTCTTCCCCTGTAATGTGGTTTTATGCCCCTGTAATATGATTTTTGATCTGGGTGGGTTTGCAAAGGAGTCCAGGGGTTCATACTGACAGAGCCCACTGCAAACAGAACACCTCTGACTAGAACTACCCTCACTGTGAACAGATCATTATTAGTGAGACCTCTTTGCAAAGTTACATGCCCTGCTATTCTGGGATGGAGCAACTTGGCACTAAAGACTGGGTTGCATTATCAGTGACAATTCTGGCTGAGGAATGACCAGCCTGCATTCCACTGCTGCAGGTCCTTGATTGCAGTGAGGGCTTCTCCTTCCATTTCTGGAACCGATTTTTCTGTTTTCCATTTGTCATGGGCACAGGTCCACCCATGCCACAAATTATGGGACTATCCAGATTTGCATAAGCAAAGGAAGCAAAGGACATGAAGCCTCATCATCTAATGTGCAGAGTACTAAGAACTCATGTGGAAGCCCAGGAGGTTTATTGAATTGTTGGTGTTTTCAAATCAGAGTGTTGTTCACTCTGATCTGCCCCTCTGCTCAATTTCAATGAGAATGACCTGCACACTTCAAGGCAAGGCTGTGGTCTCTAAGGGTTTGATTTCTTTACATCTATTATTCTATATCATTCATCTGGATGTTTCTGAGACCTTGAATTTTGACTGAAATTATTTATTCCAGTTCTATTCACCAACTTACCATGTCAACTTCAGATATGCTGTCAATGCTTTCTACCTGCACATCAATGCCCACAGGTATTGGCGACCCTGTAGTGAAACAGAATGAAATAATGATGAGGAGTGTAAATCCATATTTTCAAAGAGAAGACTGTGAACTAGCAACATACAGTGTACTCCATCCCAGCATTTACTATAGTCTCTCCAGCTTAGTATGAATGAGAAAGTCCATGGCAACAAAGTAAAACCTGATGCTAAACAGTTGTAAAAATAAGTACAAAATCTTGAGTGATCTTTTTGGAGCTGGACTAGTTGTTACTGGCATTTCAATTTGGACAGCAGTGACAGCTTCCATGTGATGCTAAAGCTAATGAACTGCTTGAAGTGCTATTTAGAATTATCATAGGCAAAAGCTGAGTAAGTATATGAAATACATCAATGATTGCAAGGCTTTCTTACCAGTTCCAGTGTTTATTCCCACACTTACAAAAAACATATCTATTTCCTCACTTACTACCTTTAGTTACTTAACTAACTAAATTTAACATAGATATTTCAGAAAAAAGATTGCTTGCTCACTACGTCCTAATGCAGAACCTGTACACAGACTGAGCATGTTCTGTGATGGCTTCATGTATTACTGGATAGATAATTTATAATCAAGTATAATGCATACCAAAGTGCACTGGATGACTTTATTTTATATCCTATTGCATTATCTCATGCCTCTGAAAAATGCTGTGAGTCTGTAACACAATGGGATCTGTATGAAAAAATTATAAAAACATATTTTGATTTTTAGAATAAAGTGACTACAAATCAATTAAAAAATACATCCCAATTTCCAGTCTTTTCCATGCACAATATCTAGAATGAAGGACCTAGTTTTGCACAGGTTATGTACCTATGCAATTTCCAGCAAGCACAGCATCCTACTAATGGACTAATCACTTCCCTAAAGAGGGGGGAGAAGAGAGAAGAGTATGCATATATGTGCATACATCACCTCCCCCACCTGCCCCAGAATATTCATGCATTTGGCATGAAAATCAGTAGTAATTATTGTACATGGGATTCCAATTACATTCATTAAAAATAGTCAGTTAAAATATTTTTCAAGTACACATTTAAAACAACCTGGTAAAAACATGAATACATGGAAGTCTGAACAGCAGCAGATAGCAACAGCTTTTCTAACATCTTTCTCTTTTTCTTATCTTTTTCTTTTAGCACTGTCGAGCCAAAATAGTCCAGAAACATCACTTCCCTGATAACCAGCCACAATACTGTGTCTCTTTTTGGAATTATCCTTAAAATAGCAGCCTTCCAGGATTACACAGCTGCCTCCAGTTCTTACCAGCAGAGATCTTGAACTATTATAGAGGTATTTTTAAATCTGGCTCTGTAATCTCTTGATTTGACTTGTATTTTTTAATGGAGAGTTTGACCCTGTACACAGCAGATGAAGCTTCACTGTGCATGGGAAAGCAAGGTAAGATGTGTTCTGAGTTAGCAGGGCAGACCGGAACAGGCTTCAGCACTGACAAGAGCTGTCTGGCTCAGAACTCACAGCTCCCCCTGAGAGGAGCGCATCCCAAAATCTGTAGGGCAAACCCCAAAACAAGGATCAGGACTCCAGCACTGTGCATGGGAAAGCAAGGTAAGATATGTTCTGAGTTAGCAGGGCAGACCAGAACATGCTTCAGCACTGACAAAAGCTGTCTGGCTCAGAAATCACAGCTCCCCGTGAGAGGGACACATCCCAAAGTCTGTAGGGCAAAGCCCAAAGCAAGGATCAGGATTCCATATAGCAAAGTTCAACTAGTTTGCTAGTAAAACAGTAGGCAGCACTTAGGCAAATGCTGCTTCTTTTGGAGAATAGAGACAGCAGGAGGCATCTGCCCTAGAGGCTGTGAAAAAGGGTATCAATGTATGTATATTCAGCCAGGCTTCTTCATGCAAACCAATGAAAATTTTTATGCCTCTCCTAAACTAGATTTGACTACTTCTCTTTGTTTTGACCACAACACACACAGTTTACTTACACTAGATACCAACTTGTACCAAGTAGTGGTACAAAAATGCCTGGTTGTAATCTTAGTATTGTCTGTATTCCACTGAAATCTAAACAATCTTGTAATGGTTTTAACCTAAGCAGAAGTCATTGTGGGATTTATACCTGATGTGAACATCATTCACAAATGGCATTCACACATCGTTTAAATGCAAACAACACAGAAGGATGAGGTGGGATCTACCCAAATCCTCATTTGCAGGATGAAAGAGGACAAGTCCACACTGCAGAGCTGGCACTCAAGCCAGCTGTACTCCAGGCAGGGTGGCCCAGGGAGCAGGATAGCTGTGCAAGCACAGCACTCCAGCCTAGGAGCATGGCTAGTACAAAAGCTGACTAGTATGTGACCAGCACTGGAGACAGAAATCTGCCCTCAGCCCAGTTACACTGTATGGACAGTATTCCTGCAGTCTGCACTCCCATGCAGTACATACACTGTAACTGGCACATTTGGGACTGGGACGAGGTGGCTCATGACTTGGAAATGCTGTTGGTTAAAAGGGCTGCTTAGAGTGACTGCAAATTGGTAGATGAACTGCACATTATCTGACCTGAGCCACCACGAACCTTCACCTTCTTGACATTGTAGGTGTCTTCAAACTTACCCTGGACTATGGCAGATGCACATGCTGAGATATATGGAAGTGCTTAATCTGGGTGTACATTTGATCTTAACGTTGTTACTAAAACTTTGGGAGATGATTTGCTTGTTAAAAACAGTGGATTTGGTCCTACTGATGTTGAATTATGTAGGTGGAAGAGGAGGAAAGGGGACCAGCTCTCAACCTAAAACAAAGGTTTTACCAGTGCCTGAGTCAAGGTCAAATCTAAAGCAAATAAAATTAAATGTCTTCCATCAATATTCTTCAAACAGGCAAGGAACTACCCACAAATCAACTGACTTTCTAAACCATCTACAATGTACAGTGAGGAAAAGGCTTTTTTTAGTGACAGCTGCCCAAAGTGTGATGATGACAGTCCTAATATTTCTTGGAATTTCAAAAATCACAGACAATTTCTTACCCAAGGACTCTTACCCAAACAAGCATTATTCCAGCATGGGAAAAATTTCATCAAATAATTCAGCTCCTCTGGGCACATACAAAGGAACTGATCACAAAACTAGAAATTAGTGGCAGCTTATGATTGTGTTGGCTGTATGCACATAAACCAAAGTGGCACGATACATAAATACACACTTGATTCTTTGAAAGGACAATTTGCTCTGTGTTGATGGGGTCAATGAGTAGCATAAAAGAGATCACCTGTGACCAAGAGAAATTCAGTGGATGATTCTAAAGTGAAATAAATAAAAAGGGAACAGTAACAATTAAATTTGTACCTTATTAGGTAGAAATGCTAAAACTGTGAAACAGACTCCTTAAGAAGAGATTGCTGTTCTCCATCTGAAGAAAGACCAAAGACTCTACTCATGATGCTTAATGAGAAAATAGTGTTCAATCCAGCATTCACCACAGACAATTATTAAACCACATCCCCTACCCCCAGCCCTGACCTATTACTGACAGATCATAGCAGCTGCAAATAATTCCTTACTATTCTGAATCTACTTTGGCAACAAATGTAGAGTCAGAACAGACACTAAACACTGCACATATATGCAACCCTGATCACTTCAGTGTGCTGTTCACTTTTCTAATCTGAAGCATTTTTATGTTGTTGTCACTAACACACACAGAGTACAAGATACCTATTGGCCTTACTCTGGTCCAAGCCATCTTGGTTTTCTGAGAACATTTCTTTCTGTGATTAAAAACCAACTTTACTAGAAACAGTAATCATTAGCTATTGGGAACAGGTTGCTGAGAACTGTAATTTCTTCATCCCTTGGATTTGTTTTACCACAAGTGGATGTTTTTAAAAAATATCATTCCAATAAGCATTGGAAAGGTTCCTAAACCAGTCAGAACAGTAAAGCAATTCATCCACCTCTATGTTTGCATCACAGCTTTTGCCCTACTATATTAAGGGTTTCAATCTCTGGCAGAGTCGACAGCATCAAATTCACTTAAAAAAAAAAAGTAACTAGAGCAAAGCTGTGGTTTTTATTTCCCAGTTCGACAAAACTGGGGATGGCAGAGAGGATTTTGTTATTAAATTGAGAAGCTTCAGTTGCTTCTGGAGAGTCACTACAAATCATTATTATGGAGGGATTAGTGATTTTCACAATGGAGACTCTGCAGATTTTCAAGATAATTACTCCTCAGCAGAAAAAAGCCAGCATTGTTTTCAGGTGGGTTTATCTTCGCACGAGCCATTTCCAGTCTTTTATTTGAAAGGTTTAAACATAGCAAAAGAATTCCTTGATGAGCATGAATTTTTTTTTTAATAAACAGTATGTCAGGCAAATTCTATAACACCCTTTTTTAGAAGGGATATTATGTAAAAAGGATATCTTTTGGAATTTTAGGATCAATTTCTACAATAATAATGACTGATTTAGTGATTCTATAGTATTTTGATGGTAGTCAGACCTTTGAACATGCAACAGATTGCACCTGAAATTCTGTAAGGTAAAGGTTGAATTTAGAAAAAACAGTCACTCTGTCCCTGTTTGCTTTGTAACAGTGTACACTGGGAAAAAAGCAAGGGCTACAGAAAGCTCCCAGTAGGAGAGAGAGACTAGGGGAGGATTAAGGTCTGTAGAAGGACTTTCCTCTAATAAAGGCTTGTGGGCCTGTAGGGGAAGAAAACGGGATAGAAATGTAAACAAGCCCCAGGGAAGTGAAGCACTGTGGATGTATTTATTTTCCTCTGGCAATGATGGAAACAGGAGAACTGCTGGCAATGGGTATTTTCGTCCTGTTACTGCTTTGTTTCTTTCTTATTTATGTGAGAAATGAAGGTGGACTGGTAATAGCAGCAGCCAGCTCTTGGAATTGAAGAATTAGCAATGTAAAAGAAAAAAATCCAGAAGATGACTACTAGAGGTCTTGTAAATAATCAAAATATTTCCCTCCTGTCCTGGACCCCCAATATTCCTTCCAGTAACATGATAAAAAGCCATTCCACCTTCATCAGTGTGAATCTTCACCACAATGAAAAGACATTTCTGATTGTTCAGGAAGGGCTGACAACTTGGTGTCAAAGAGCTATTAGAATTGCGGCACTTTCTGAACATATATTGGGCAATATTTTCTTTCCTTTTCCCCCCTTTTTACCTTAAAATGAATTAAAATTGTTACTAATCTAGTCTGTGGAGGGAAGAGGCATAAAGGGGAGTGATATAATGGAACTATGATCCTCTGAAAATTCAGAATTAAGATTATGCTTAATCGCAGTTTGGGATGTAAATTGTCAGGAAAGACTGTTACCTCTTGACCAGCTAAATGCTGCTAAACTCTTTTTCAAAATTTCTAATACTTGCTAATGTTATCATCCTCTATATTGTTTGATGTAGCAGAGATAATAAATTAAAAAACTTCAACTAACACAGCCTTAGCATAGGAAATTACAGGTCCTTAAAACACAATGTAAAGGAAAAATACAGTTGTTTTACACACACGAATGAGAAATTGCATGTATGCAGTGATAATGATCATGTGGTTCCATCATCTTACAAATGCAAAATCATTCAGAGAGTGAGTGGAAGGATTTTACTGTCAGGAAAATCAAGGCACAGAGGAACAAAAGAATGACCTCCTCTCTATGACAGTCTATCATAGTTTCTTAATTTTTAGTAAGTGGAGACAGAATTCAGGAAATCAAGAGCTCACACCAATTACTTCTACCAGTACTTTGAAATAAGACAGTTCAGAGAATAATAGAATACAGATAACTAGATGTGTAGTAGAAAAGAAAGTAACTTTTAAGCATTTCTAACGATCCACTTTAAGACCTCTCTCAACATGCAGTTTTGGCTGCTAAGACAGGCTGCATCATGGCCCTCAGATCTGAGCTGCTACAAGTCTCTGCTCATTGTCTGATACTGGCCCGTGCTCAGTCCTTCTCACTGAATTTAAAACATGAGGATAGTCATTCCAAGTAGTGGAATGATTTCATTTCTTACTTTTTCACCACTCCAAACTGTTTGCTCACAGACTATCAGTTTATTTGGCTATTGAAAAATCCACCGAAGTACTTTAGGCAGTGTGAAAGCACACAAGTCATGACAAGATCTGACTCTGAGTCTACTGACAGCCTTTTATTTCCTTTGGTAGGGCAGGCAGAAAGCCTTACTGGACCTGGCAAGCATCATTATACCATCACAGAGCCACTCACATCCCCATCTCCTGGCCTTTATCAGTGCTTTTGGAAGCAGCAAGGTCTAAACAAAATTCCTACAATGCACCCTGATGCAGCTGGTAAAGCTGTTAGAGCAGAGGAAGTATCCGTGCTCCTAGTCCAATGTCTAGTGGAATTACTCAAATCATTATGCTAGTCCACATCTGTTTGCATCAGATGGGATTCATCTATTGGAGACTTCCAAACAAAACAGGACTGTGACATTACACAGACTGCAACAATCAAACAACAGCAACAAAAATAATTCAGGAAAGGAAAAAACCACCACTACCACCCTCCTTCCACCACCAACTTAAGAGCTTGGCTTAGGGAGTAAGTGCAATATAACAATGTGAGTTTAGTTTTTTAACGAACACTTGGATGTACTGAATTACTGTTTGCTTCAATCAACCTCACAGTATAATGCACTGCAGACAAAGTAACATTTCTCTAGCCAAAGAGTAGGAACAGCTTGCTAACAGCTTGCTGGGTTTGCTTCATCTTGATGCAGTGTGCTTTTCAGGCTTTGATCTCTGATCTGCTAATGAATGGATAATGTCAGGACTACATTTTAAAATCAACAGTCAGAGAGTCAAAGTGGAATGGCATTGCAATCCACAGAAGAATGCCAAAATACACTCACATCAATGAGAGCAAAGTTGTGTTGGTCAAAAAAAGGATCTCTTACCTCCACAGAGCAATGATGCACTTTCCTGAGAAAGCAACCAGTCATGCGAGCAAAGCCACAATTATTTCCAGTAACACTGCAGCCAGTAGCATCAGTATCCAGCAGGTCTACATTCATTTTCCCCAGGTTTTCCCTCTGCATGTTCACTCAGTTTCCAAATCAAATTCAGCACATGCTCTCTGTGTTTTTCATTTGTAGCTTAAATATAAATACCAAAAACTCTGGGTCCTGTAGTCTGCCTCATTTACATTGCATGTGAGGGGCTAAATGAAATAAAACAAAGCAGATTTAGGAGTTCCCTGAACTGAAGGAATCTCCAGCATGAATTTTCGAGCTGCTTTTTCTCCTAAACTGGTGCAAAGGATGATTGACCTTTGCAGGGAAAGGGACACAGTCGAGCTAGATTAACAAACTCTGTCATTCCAACTCCCTGACATATCCAGAAAACCACAATGAATTATAGGAAAGGGCAAAAAATTGTCCCTCTTCTAAAGGTAAAGAATAAATTTTAAATACTTGTTTTTCATCCAGCTTCTTTGACCTGTTTTTTTTCTCTATTGCGAATTGATGCATTGTGCTGAGCTGAATAAATCATGCAATGTGGCATGTGACAGATACAAGCCCTTCATGAATCACAACACTGGGATGCTTCATTAGATTTGATGAAAACAAACCCAAAATTTCACCTGTTTTAAACACATAGAGCCCACAGTGCTGTAAGTCTTTATGGAATTCAGGGCAATGCTGTAACTGCTGTGGCAATGACTGTAGCAATGGTATCTCTAATTTCACCCTCTCCTCTAGGTAAGTTTCCTTCTGCCACACACTTAATCATCAATGTTCTTCAGAGAAACCTGTCCCCTGTCTCTGCTGACATAAAATAATTCAGAGTATGTTATTCAGATTCATGTTTCAGTTGTGAGATTTGTCCACTGATGAGATCACACTTGTCTATTAACTCTCTGCAGCTGCTGCCTTATGAACCTGCCTTTTGTGACAACCAAACAATTTATTACCACAACATCACTGAAATCAATGGCAAAACAGGAACAATGGAGTATAATTTTGGGATTGACATTCATTTCACTGTGACTTTTTCCACTCTGTGCTGTAAAAATGCTACTGGATCTGTTTTAGCTTAAGAGAGGTTCATGCATAAGTATCCCCATATTAAGACAGTTCTGAAAATTTGCAAGTGTGTCAGCTATTGGATGTGGATTGCAAAAAAAGTGCCTCTTGTGCCACTGTGGCATGTGGATGATAGAAGAGAAGCAAAGCTGATGTGCTCTTCTGCTGAGAGCTATTTCTGAATGCAGAAGTACAGCTGAAATCATACCCATGGCAATGTGATTATTGAGAGGCCTGTGCAGTGAAGTCAGTGGAAAAACTACAGCTGGCTTCATCAAGAATTGAATGGGCTCTATGACTAGCCATCTGAAAATAAAAGAACAAGGGGAAAAATCCTGGTACAAATTTGCTAGGCGTAAAAAAATCCTCACTGCCCATGGAAAATTACAACTGCCAGATCACACAGTATATTCTCAAAGCTGCTTTTATGTACAACATAAGTATTGTTTTCTGGGATGATCCAGTGATAAAGCACAGCCCAAACCACTCTCTGCTTTCATGGAAATTCTGCTTTCCACTCTCAAAAATGTGAATTCCTTGTGTGGCAAAGCAGGTGATAACAAGATGTCCAGACTAACAGATAATAGACTAAACAGGTATGAGGCAAGAGGCGATCTGAACTTCTGTTGTCAAGAAACAGACTGTATCTCAACTATTGTTCAAAATCTTGCAAGATTTTTGCTCTCTGACAAGACATAATTTCTATAGTATCAAGACAGCCTTTCACATTCTCCCAGTGCATCCAGAGAGGCTCTTCTTACCCCAAGTCTCCCTCCTGGCATGCTTGCCAGGTCCCAGATCCCAGCAGCTGGAGTCAACAAGAACAGCTCCAGAGACTTCAGCTAACCTCCCAGATTTATGTTTGTCTACACAACTGATTATCAGTCCTCATATATTTTATTTTGGCTTCATAATCCGGAGCAGTTCAGTCTATTTTCATGAATCATGAAAACGGAACTGGTGACGCAAAGGCTCAGACAAAGCGTATTAGTGGGGCAGCTTTCTCGTTTTCCCTTTCACGAAGGAGAGTCAACACTGAATCTAAACTGTGAACATCCCATTGAATATTCCCTTTATCCAGATGCAATTTAGTTAAATGAAGAAATAATCATCATAGTGCCCAACAACACAGAAACAACATGGTAATAAACTGAAGGCCTCTGGGTAATTATTTTTATTTTGCACAGAGCAAACAGATTTAGGAACTGATGGTTTACTTCAATCTCTCAAAACAAATCTGATGACTAAGTAATTTGCTAATTGCTACTAAACTATGCAGTTCACAGGGATACCTTAATCCCTGTTCTCACAGGATCTTATTCTAATAATATAATTTTAATTAGTTCTGAAAGGATGACTATTTGAACAGTTTCGCCTATTGAAATACTAAACACCAAATGATCCCTTGCCTTCAAGTATTTCTGTACTTTTCTTTATTGCCTGAATTACAACAAAAGAGGCACACTGCCATTAAGTCTGTCGTTCAATTCTAAGTGACACTGCCATACAAAATTCAAGTAAGCTTCCAGAGAGAGGATAAACCATTAACCACAGGCAGGTGCTGCTTACCTCCAAATCCAGGTCTCAGTGCAAAGTCATGGTCCTCTATGTGAAGGAGCTGCTCAGATTTAAGTGGCCTCACTTTCGTGCTGTCAAGTTTCCTCATTTTAATTTCTCGTTTGCTATGTTAGAAAAAAAAGAGCAAGAAACTTAAAATTTCCCCTGCCTCACATTCAGAGTGCTTTAACTTCAGAGTTAAATGAAGGAGGGACCCAAGAATACTGGACAGATGAATCTGGTATGACAAGGGTCATATCTTTCTTGGAGAATGATATATTAGGGAAGATTGGGAAATGACATATGAGGGTGCCCAGGTCCATGGGGAACACCAATTAATTATAATAAGTCCCAGGAAGAACATCTAGATCTTCTTCAATTCCCCTGAGATTGTATCTGTCATGGTACAGGAGGATAGAACTGTTTGGGAAAAAAAGTTATTAGTCACATAAACACTTGCAACTCAAACTTGGAAATAACACCACATATTCATGGTTTTAAACCTCTTCATGCATTGTCCATATTACAGAGACAAATATTCTATTTATTATCAATGTGGTTTTTTTTCCTTGGAGCTCAAATGAGTCAGTCATTTTTCAGAAGGACTAAGAAATTTTGATCCTGGATCCAGAGGCTTGCAGGGGTAATGGCTTTAAACGGAGGGAGGGCAGGTTTAGATTAGATATTAGGAAGAAATTCGTCTCTGTGAGGCACTGGAATAGGTTTCCCAGAGAAGCTGTGGATGTCCCATCCCTGGAAGTATTCAAGGCCTGGTTGGATGTGGATCTGAGCAACCTGGTCTAGTGCAAGGTGTCCTTGTCCATGGTAGGAGAGGTTGGAACTAGATGATCTTTAAGGTCCCTTCCAACCCAGACAATTTTGTGATTTTATGAGCAAATTTCCAACCAACCATCACTGTTGCTGCTTCTCTCTCCTTCAGGATTTTGTTGACGTGGGAACTGGATGATCTTATGACTCTGTGATCTCCTATACACATTAGGAACACCTTTCTCATGGTGTGAAGAGTGAAACATGGGAGCATATTGCTTGTGCAGGTTTGGAGATTCCCTTAACACAGGGTATTTAAGAATAGGTTAGACATTTATTCATAGGAATCACTTAAATACAGATGCTTTGCCACAGGCAAGGGACTCTCCCTAGACACAATTTGTTTCATGCTTTCTGTCATTCTCTGGGACTTTGCTGCCAGCAGCTCTAATTATTACTTTAGACTGAATGATAGAAATCTGTTCTGAAGATTGGCCCTGTAATCAAACACTGCTTAAGGCAAGGTATGGAATACCTTAGGGTAAGGTATGTGTCTGTATTTATTTTTCTCCTTTCCCTCTTTTTTTCCTCTAATAATGAAGCCCAAGAAATTACTTTCAAATTATAGGAATGCTAAGGTGGCTGCTCAGAACTGCTGGCCCTGAACAAATGAATTTACCTTAGTATTCACGAATGTCTCTGGCAGTGCTGTCTGAATCAAATTATCAGGGCAATCAGAGCACCTATCAGGCATGTCAAATACAGACGTCAGTTTTCCAAGTCTGAAAATTATGTGGATGCTGAAGGGAAACCCCAAGCTTCAGAGAATTCAAATCCCCACAGAGCAAGCTTGTATCAGAGTGGAAGGTGCAGCAGAAGTGAACACTTGTGCTGCTCTGCAACAGGTACCTCAGGAAATTCTGCTGCTTGGAAACCAGTGTAAGAGAAAACGATGAATTATGTTCAGAATGCCATGGCACAGCTAATACAGTTTGGAAGCATTAAGTTATTTGTCATAGGATGTGCCAAGGAAAATGCCTGTTTGATGCTCCAATGATTTCACTGGAAGCATCAGGCTAGAACTGTGATTCATCATCTATTACAACTTCTTACTAGAAGCAACTGTGTGACTGAGGAAGACTTTCCTTAGCCACAACAGGCAAAACAGAAGCTACCAGGGCAGGAATTTTCTATCTAATAATCCACTTAAAAGAGATGCTATGGGATTTTGATATTCCTTCTGTTTTCTCAGAAGAGAACAAAATAAACAGAAGTCCTGCCCGTATGAAAAGCATCTTTTGTCCCCACTTACTCAAACAGCCTCTTCAAGCTGGTGCTTTATATACGGATGGTGGAATCCTATAACTATTTCTAGCTGCTATCAGATGTGGTTGTTCAAACTAGGCAAGATCTTGCAGGAGTCAGGATAGCATTTTTATAACAAACATGCAACATCTTTAATACCTTCCTTTGGCAGAATATAAACCTTTACCGTAAAGGAAAATAGGCTTACATGGAGATAGATGGTTATGGCACTTGGAATGAATTTAATGGACACCTGGTGTCCATGCAGATGCATAACATTGCATCTGTAAAGGTATCAAAGCTTTTTAAAAAATCCATAAACATTTCTAAAATAATTAAGGAATAATTCACTTCTGCTTCACTTTTTTTTTTTCCCTTTTGACTGCTTCCCCACTCAAGGCTAAGAAGTGTTCTCCAGCAGATATTCCTTTAATATCAGCATCTGGACTCCAGATGTTGCCCCTTGGCTAAGAGTTACAGTATTAAATTGTCCTCACTGCAGCATTACAATTACTTAACTGATGATTCAAAGGGGGTTGCATTTATGTTTATATTTTATGCATGTATTTGTTTGCTCCAAATACATCTTAGACCGGCATCTAACTATTGACCAGCACTACAGCATCATGAAATCATCAGCAGATGTTTTTTGAGTGCTCCTTCCCACGGTACCAATTCCATTAAAAAGCAGAATAGACAGATCTAACCAGCCTGTGTCTCAGAAAGGCTTCCTGAGATCAGTTAAGATATACTTTTCATTCTCACAGAAGCACAGCAAAGACATGGATTACTTTTCAGTGGCCTGGAACCCTGTGCAGCTGCACTGTGCAGCTCTGAGCAGCACACCAGAGCCAAGGAGGCTAAATGCAGTCATTGATTCTGCACATCCACTGTATGGCAGCTGTCAGGCTGTGGTGCTGGAGAGAAAAAGCCCACACAGAATCACGGAATGATTTGGGTTGGAAAAGACCTCTAAGATCACTGAGTCCAACCATTAACTCAGCACTGCCAAGTTCATCACTAAACCATGTCCCTAAGCACCACATCTACATGTCTTCTAAAAACCTCTAGGGATCGTGACTCCACCACTTCCTTGGGCAGCCTGTTCCAATGCCTGACCATCCTTTTGGTGATGAAAGGTTTGTGAAATCATCTGCTGATACTAAGAAAACGAAATCTCTCCTTACCTACCTGGGGGATCAGTAATAAAGTGAAAATCCTATGGCTTCATATTGACATAGATCGGGGCAATGACAAACACAAGTTAGCTGGTCTCTGTGAGGCACATGCTCAAGAAGCTACTGCTTCCAGTTATAGCTGTGTTTTCCACAGCTGTATTCCAGGCAACAATTTACATTATACAAATGAAATGGTAATCGATAATTAAATTCCAAAGGAGGTCATAGAAAGCACTTGAAGTGTTTCATTTCATATAGGGAAGACACCCCTGCTGGTACTTATAAAGTATGTCAATGAAATCTCTATTTTTTTTGATGAAAACAAAGTGAGGAATAATGTTTTGACAATTCCCTACCCAATACTATGACATGGACCTTGGTGTTTTACGGAGCTCTCAAAGCACGGTTAGTCACTGCCTACAATGCCAAAGCAATGAGTTCAGAATTATTTAACAATGGACAAAGATGTGTCAGGCTTTTACAGACAAATTTAGCTGCTCCTGTCTAACCTTGAATACCATTAGTGAATGAAAGATCAAAGGTCTGCTCAAGGGTACTTGGATCATTTTGGGTTAAAGCATTTAATCACTTAATGTCATCAGTGTAGTTCCGTAAACAATAGCATTCATGGGATTGATGTGGTTAGTATCCCATCTGGTTGTCTTTAACTTACCAGCTTATCCAAAGTTTATGCTGGTTCAAGGAGGAATTGGACAAGTTCATGGAAAAGAAATCCACTGAGGATCATCAAAACTGCAGAAACTACATCCAACACAAGGATGACTCTGGAGGAAATTTGGTGACTTGATATGAGTGGGAGTATTAGGAGGAAATACCTTACTTGTTTGCCCTGTCCTTATTCTTCCAAGCTTGTACTTACAAGCCCTTGTTATAAACTCAGTATAGCGCATGGGGCTTTGGTAAGACCCTGCATGGCTGTCCTTCTGTATTAGTGCCCTGTGTAACTACTGATATGGTAAAAATTCTTGGTAGGAGACTAGAGGAAGAGTGGTAGGGAAAAAACTCCTCAGCATATTCAAAATGCAGCTAGATAAGTTTATAAGAATACCATTAAGGACCCTTTCAGGAAAAGAATACCCTAGATTTAATGGCCATAAGCTTCTTTCCAGTGCAGTGGCCCCAGGATGCTCTAGCTACAACTAAACCAAAGGTATCCAAAAGGTAGAAGTTACAGAAATCTTATTCCCAGAAGAGTCTGTGGGGCTATATAGCAGTGTGATCTCTAAACATTTTAACAAATTTATCAAATCTTGTAGCCCAGATAAACGTAATAATCAAAATTGACAAGTTCTCTCTCCTACACACATTTCTAAGTGTTCAGTACCAGCAACATGTACTGTCGAAAAGCCTAATATTTTGACAATCAAATGTTTTGTTCTTTGCTGTAGGAAATGGACCATGAGAATAATCGCTTTCTCATGTACTTTTGGTTAATGCTTTAAAATCTTCTTTACCGGAGAATGCAGACAAATAGCTTTGGAGGGAGAATTGGGTTACTCTATTAAAACAGTGGAACTTGTAGGTTAAGTAACATTTTCACATGGGATTCTTTTAAAAGGCCACCCATTTAACCAAGGCCATCTGTCAGCTGTGTCCCTAATAACCCTAGTGCTGGCTGAAAGATTTTTTCCCCAGAAAGAAAAAGAGCCTGGTGGAAAGTCAGACCCTGTTGCAATGTACCAGAGGATAATGCTGCCTTTAGAACAAAGCCATAGAATGAAACAAAGAGAAATTAAACACATTTAGATCCTTTGCAGAGAAAAGCTGATTTGCAGCTGTTAAGCTTTGGGATCCTCTGTGGCTCAGATTCTGCAGTCTCCTTCCCTATTTGAAGTCCCTAGGACCCTGGAAATTACTATGTGGGATGCCAAAGCATGCCTTGTGCAAAGAAAACTGCTACACCAGGCAGCATCAGATAAGAATTCTGTCCTGGCATTCCTCCTTGTTCCTATTCTTCCTTTCTGTTAACACACTTCTGCCTGTCTCACAGGATTGTCATATGGATCCACTTGTATATTAGTAGAGATCTGAAAAGATGGAGAGGACACTGTGCTACTCTTGGTCCTGCTATCCTGTGGCAAGAGACCAGCAAAGGATGTCCAGCAGGATGCCACAAAACATGCCATCTCCTATCACCAGGTTTTTCTCCTGCTTTGTGATTATTATTTTTTTAATGTCAGTAATGGAGCAACTGCTCTCAGCTACTGCAGAACAGGATAAATGCAAACAACAGCATGTGCTTCCCTTTTACCACCAGGGTAAGCTGGTGCTTAAAATAGACCTTCCTTGCCACTACCACTAGCAATAACAAGGTATTTTATTCTGTTTCCATTTGATTTTTAACTGCTTCCTGAGAATAGCAAAGCACTAGATTAAACCTTATGTTTCTGCTAGGGCTAGTTCTATTTATTTTCCTTTGTTATTGCATATAATCATGCACCAGCACTCACTCACAAAAGCTGTCAGTGAGTTTGAGATAGTCTGCTGAATGGACATTCTTTACATGAGCTTTTGACTTAGACCTAACTTGAGCCTATGCTTTTGAACTGAAACCCAGAAGTACTGAGTGGTACAGCATCTTTGGGCACCTCCACTGTGTTATCTGTTACTTTGCATTGCTTAAACATGATTTTTTCAAGACATGTAGAGTTTCAGAGATACTGAAACTGCCAGATTATCACATAAGAAGTGATACAGGAGGTGAACAGCAACTTGAGAAAAAAACAGCTTAAACACATCAGAGGAGCTAACTTATGTTTATTTCCCTCAATATGTGATACTGTGCAAATAAACTATGAGCTCCCCTGCTCATTTTAGTAAGGGGTCAAGCACACAGAAAAATCTGACAGTTGTTTCCCTTCTCCTTCCTTAAATTGAGCTACTTACTACAATTTCTCCTACTTCCTGACAAAGAGAAATCTTCCTTGAATTATCACTGGCAGTCACTGGTCTGTTCACATACTATTAGATTAACCTGGAAACAGGTTGAGAGACCTCACATGGCAGGTATGAAAATGCATTCATGGGGAAAAAGCACTAACACTTTTCACAGAAAGCTATGTGTAAGAACCTCTGTATTACTATTCATTTTCAACCAGCTACTTGTTTGGAAAGACTAAGGACAGAGACAATCTTCAATGTCTAAAAGCACAAGTATATTCCAGAAAGGGAGCACACTGTGTCATCACTACAAATAAGGTATAATTCACCTCATTTAGTGCCATAAAAATGTCTTCTGTATCTTTATAGTGCAGCTACTCTGATGTTTAGGTAATGGAAGTAAGTCGCTTTATAACACTGGCACAGAACTCTGGAAGGCATTTCTGCTTCTTGTAATGGGAGTGAGATGGTGAGAATATTTGATGCATCACAGTAGTAGTCTGGTATCACAACAGTAGCCTTGTATCACACAATTTAAAAGAGCCATGTGTGGGTGTGAGTGGGTACATACCTGCATATATATGAAGCATTCATGAAAGCACAATATGAAATGTCTGGTTATGAAAAATTAGTTAATAGTTCACTATTTCTGTTTTGGGAACACCCTATTGCATACTACAAATCTAGAAACTGGCAAAACAGGACAGTGAACAAAAAGGATGCATTGAAAGGTGGCTGACAGCATGAAGTTCATCAGATGAACACGGACACAGAAAGTATATTTCTTACCTGTTATGCTTTTTTGAGAATGATGATTGTTGCCGACGATGAAGATGGTGATGCTGACTGTGAGAACTGTGTAGCACTGCTGTTGGCCATAGGCAGGTGAGGAACAGAAGTTTCATGACCAGGACCATCTCTTCCAAAAGAGAAATGCACCTGATCACCCAATCCACCTCGCTGACTTCTTGCCTTTAGTGTTCCTACTGTTTAGAAACAGCATAGCATATAAAAGCTGCACATGAAGAAAGGCATCACTGAACATGGAAGACAGAGGCATCCCAGTTCTGACGCCCTCGCCGAGTTCCCCTCATGTTTTGGCAAATCATAAATATTCCTTCAGCTCTACATCCCTGCAGCATCTGCTGTCCAAGCAGAAGCACGTTGTTTTCAGCAATGTAGCAGGTAGAACAGTTTGTGTGGCCAAGCTGCAGGCTGATCCATTGCTCTCACTCTTTCACCACAGGCGAGTATTTAAATTCTCCATCACCCGCTCAGTAACCTCTTCAACATAGCCTGTGCAGGCAAAGTGATGTCAAACATTTAATCCCCCTTAAATCCCACACAAAACCATACAAAAATCTGCTTTAATGACAAAGGTCTCTAAATTAATCTTGCTTTCTATATGTGTGTGTATCTGCTCAAAATCATTTTCTGTGCAGATCAAGGTCTCTTGTTAACTGGATACATTGCAATGTCTTCACAGCCATAAGCAGCATTTCTGTTTCTGTGATCACCAAGCATTTTGTCTCTACATACAGAACTACTTTTGGACAGCACAATGTCATGGAGCAAGTCCAAACTAAAAGTGAAATCTTGTTTCAATATTCTCTAACAACATTTGGAAATATCAACAATTCCTCCCCCACTTTTTTCTTTTACTAAGCTCTGCAGCTACCTCTTTAATTTACAACGTGTAAGACCCAGTAGCCTTCCACCAACCCTAATTTTATCTTTATTTCACTTAGCCTGCCCTGCCTGTTCAATAGCAGGTTGAATAGCAAAACATTTTATTAACAAACTGTTGCTTAAGCCGTAACTTGCACATGCTTGTTACAAAAGATGGTAAAATTTCTTGTGGGATTAAAACTGGGTAATACTGGGGACACATCTTAGCTGACGCAGTCAAATTTATCCTTTTCAAGCCATCAGCAAGTTCAGTCGTTATCAAAACTGACAGCATATGTTTATCCTTCTTCATCTACAAAATCAGAGACTTGAGACTGAAAGTTTGGGAAATGGCAATACCCAACTCCAGTCTAACAGATATAGAAGTAATTTGTGTCTCCCAGCAATATAGGCTTCTGCCTAAATAAGACAAACAAACAGAGGAATAAAACCAAACCCAACACTCTGTCTGCTGAGACTGTTAACACCCAAGCACCTTGGGATCACAATTCTGTGATGTGGACATCTGCCTCCTCAGATGTTACCTGAGATTCCCAGCTGACTTCATTTGGATTATAAACTAATTCTCTGCTGTAAATGATTTCCAGGTAGAGGTTACCGACTGACAACTAATTCCCACTGTTTTTTCCATTTGGAGCTGAACCTGCCTGTGACTTCAAAAATTAAAGTAAAATACCTTCCCAACCATGCACAAAACTTTAACAGTCTTAGATTGAATTTGGTAGCCTAGATCACAGGCTTTCAGAGCTATTATCCATCTCATTCTACACTGTTCATAGTTCAATCCTTTGCTGTTCAGCAAACTTACAGAAGATCATTTGTAGCCTGACCCAGGGATAGTCAGACACATTTTCCAGCACATCTGGTGTATTCCCAGGGTGGAGCTTCTGCAGAAGGTAAACACAAGCTGTAGTTACTAAGACCTTTAACAGGTTCCATTAATTTGCACTATCATTTGGGTGGAAAAGGGAAAATAAACAATAACTCTAATGAAAATTTATTCCAGGTAGAGGTAATACAGGTTCCCAAACCAGTCTGATTAAGTTCCCTGGTCTTGCCCAGCCTACATATATCGAAGCATCAGCCCACATGGTTAAATTATATATAAGAAGAAAATCCAAGAGCCTTTGGATCCTCCTGTTTCTCCACCCAAGCACAGGCCCAACAGTAGCAAATCAAATAAAAATCAAACCACACTGCAGGCTGTGTGATGTTACCACATTAGTGCACATCCAACTACCTGCACATTCATCAGTGTTAACTCATTGCCAACCATTTTCCTCAGCTACAAAGTGATAACAACATTTATACAGAGTCTTCTGTGCGAATTCTAATCATCCACATGGTTTCCAGAGACTTTGGAGAAAGCCACATTTTAAATGTTTATATCATCTTTAGTTGAAACCACTAGCTCTCATCCTCACTAAGTAGGAGACACAGAATGGGGAGAGGATGTTCCAGGTGCTGAGGTTACCCACCAAGAGCTCTAAAGGAGACCTGTGATTAGGTCATGTCATGCTAATGTAGAAGTGTGTTGACTTCGTGTGCTGAGATCAATGAAGGCAAAGAAGTTAATTAAAAATAAGTAAGTAAAAAACCCTACTTTGTTAATTTATTTACTTGTTGGAAAAGGGAGTGCTTACAACTCCTGCTCCAGGGATATGCGAAGACAAGTCAGCTTTGCAGAATGACAAACATGCCTCTGGCCAAGCTGCGTATGGATGTCCCTCCCTCCAGAAGAGGGAGTCTTTAACAGAGCATTCTCATGCTGTTCTCATTCAGCTCTCAGCACCCTGCTGGTTTATTACTCCTAGCTGAAGCAAGAATATTACCGCTAAGCTATTGTGCTTAAAAGACTGCTCCATGGAGGATTTCCAAAATATGCTGAATGTTCCTTTGACTGCCTCTGCTAAAATCATCTTTAATCAAAATAAAGAAAGGGCTGGATGCACTGACATATTCCACTGCCTTCACACAGTTATGTCATAAATACACCTTGAGGGGCCTTGCCTAAGCACACTGAAAATCTAAACACTACCCTTGCTAGAAGTCCTTGCCTATGGCATATTTCCAGAAACTGTCTAGGCCACACATGTGGAGTTTTCAGGAGGGATTCCTACAGCAGTGAATGGCAAACACACTGACAGGTGTGAATATCAGTGAGAGCAACTAGCTGGCACCCTCAGCAATGGGGTTTCTTCATGCTAGAGCTGTCTTCATTTCTTCTGGGTAAGGGAGCATTACACACAGCAGATTGTAGTATCATTGTAAATAACCATTAAGAAAACAGGTTAATTTCCTAGGCATTCATTGGTAATAAATTCTAAAAAGATCCATCTCTGCAGAAGAATAACAACAAGATAATACAGTTTCCCTATATTAGATAGGTCCTTGTGTTTAAACACAGAGCATTGCCTCTCTGCTATCATTAAAATATTTCTTTATAATTATCCCTTTTCTGTAGCCAATGAAAAGTTGCAATGCTTATCTTCCCGAGACGAAACCCAGCGCAGGGTAACAGCACATAAGCTCATTGGAACAGTTTGCAAACAAGCAAGCAAGGAAAAGAAACAAAGGTGAACACACCACCTGGTTTCAAAAAATGAGGTGCCTTTGTTTAGTCAGCAAAATAAATCATTTCAGGCAATTGCAATCTGGAACTACAGACCCCTCTTCACCATAGGACCACAGAGCAAAGCAAATTGACAGCAGCTATTATAAAAACAAGAACAGAAAAAAGCTGGGGATGAAAAGATGTTTCAGACGTTGGAATTTTGCAGAAAATCTGAGCACACCTAAAGGCCATTTTGAACATATGGAGCTGAAACACCACAGCACACTAGCACTCACCAACCTGTAAATTACCTGCAGTGAGAAGAGATGCAGTGTGGAATGGGAAGTGTAGGTTTACCTGGCATGTATTTTTTATTCTCCTAATCAGAAACACAAAGAAAAAAAACATTATCAAGAGTCTCCTAAGAGACACATATTTCCGATAAAAACCCAGCAAATCACAGAAAGCAGATAAATCAGAGCTGTGACTGTGAGAGTGTGAATGCAATGCTGCAGCACAGGAATAGGCAGCATTTTGCTTTTCTATGGTAACAGACTCAGTGCATGGCACTTACCATTTTTATCATGGAGACTTGCAAAATTAATGTCAGAATTAAGGACAGTTTGTCCTGCTCATATTAATGCAAATGACAAACCAAGCTTCCAGAATAAGGTATCCATTCACAGTTCCTTAACAGGATGAAGTGGGAGGTAAGCAGAGACTGAGCATGATGATTCCAGTTTGCAGATCTCTGAACAGAGCAAGTGCTTTACTTAACACCTGCTGAGGGACCCAGCTCTTACGGTCCTGCTCCTTACCAAGCCCCTTAGTAGGGGGGGCAAGTGAGCATTCATCCCTATCCTAAAGAGTCTGAGGTAACAGCAAACATGGCATGGAAGGACTGCAAATTACTGGAAAAGACTTCAATAGCCAGCAAAAACCATAGCTCGGCTCAAAATCTGTGCAAGACTGTTGCACAGTGCTTACTGAAATGGAGTCTCACCCTGGGGTTTTACAACCAGCTTAAACAGAACTATCAGGTTACTGCTGACACATCTCCCCTTCCTCCCTGCAGTGCACTACCTGCTACCCTTGATCAGCAACTGTTCAGCCAGTTGTTACAGGAATGGGCAGCAGTGTGGGAGGGAGCACCTGTCCCCACTCTGGGGTGACACACAGCCAGACTGTCTTCAGCCAGCTATGAAACTGTGCTCTTCATTTCTGTTAGGCAATATGAAAAATCTCAATAATATTGAAATAAGCACATCATATATTTCTGGTGAGTGTTTAGTTCTACTGTAAAAAAATAAATGCTAATTGCTTTCCTTTTCCTTTTCATGGGCCGTAAAATTTTTGTGGCCCAAGTACAAATTTCCTGTGAAATTATGGTTCTGGGCTTACTGTTTCTTATATTTTCTTGACATCTCACTGTCTGTAAAATTCTCATACAATCAAAGGGAGCATTCCTGACACCAGTCAAAGCACCAAACCCCTACAGATGCACTGCCCCCACGTGTAGTGTGCACATACACACTGAGCCCAGGATTCTGCTCTTGGTTCTGATGCTCTGTGAAGTCTGGCTCAACTCTCAAATGCTTCAGCATGTTGAACACACAGTCTTGAGCATGTTTTCCTGAGAAATTAAGTGTTCTGATAGCATCTCCAGCCATGGAG